TTCTAGTACCACGGACAGCACCCTCAGCTGAGCAATTGATTTATTTTTGCTCCATATAAATCAATCAGACTCCTTTTGATATGTTTTTTTTTAATTAAAATTATAATCTATATGCTTTTGACAGACTTCCCCTCTCTCTTCGCTGCTCCGGAAGCCGTTGCTTTCCACCCACTCCTCTTTCTCTCTCTCTCTCTCTCTCTCTCTCTTTCCTCCTGCACTCCCCGCACAAAGAGAGGGATGCAGCATCCTCCTCAGGCCGTGCATCATCAGACCGAAGCGCTGAGAAAAACCGAAACAAAGCGTGGATTATAACACGATGCTCCTGCCTCTTGTCGCTGCCAGGCTGGGATCTGTCACGTTCAGGCCCATCGCGCCTCGCGACGCAAAGGATGTTGTTTTCACGTCCTTCTCGTTGTGGAGCCCGTGCGTGTAGCCGATGACGTCAGTTATTGGCTGAACAATAAAACGAGAGGAGGTAGGTTGATTTCAGAGCTCACGTGTTTTCATGTCATGGATGAACCAAACAGATTTAAAAAATGGTTCAAAATATCTAAAAATATTAAAACATTCATTCTCTGATTGCTTATAGGGACTGTTTAGCTGCATTGTTTTCTGTGTGCTGAAGATTGTGTTTCATTTTTTTGCAGAGAAAAATGCTACAAGGCTCAGATATTTTGGGGCACGAGAAGCCTCTGGTCATCAGGATATCGTTTGCATCTTGTGTCCTGGGCACATTGTGCCTGCCACTGCTTGGACTAATAACATGTGTCTCCATATCCTCTCTTTTTCATTTTGAAGATGCTACTGGCACACATTGCCAGGTACTTCTTATAACACATATATAATACATTATAATAAAGAAACAACCAAAATATTAAGGTTTAGGGTACCATTCATTTCGTAAAGACTTTTTAAAAACAGTTCTGTTAAACAACAATATAAAAACAATATATGATTCTATCTAATTATTATTGTTTCTTTAGTTAGTTCCCAGTTATTCCACTGACCTGTTCTTTCTTTAACAAAATGAGAAAAAACAAATGTGTGTGCACGTGTGTGCTTAATATTTGAAACAAATCCACATCTTTGTGTGTGTTCAGGTTCCTAATTACCTGCCGTCTATTAGTGCCTCAATAAGCCTGAGTCCAGAGTGCTACATTTGGCGGTTCTGCATTGGACTGCACTCTGCACCGAGGCTTCTGGTGGCCTTTACCTACTTCAGATTTTACAAGACCCGCTTTACCGCCAGAGTCCCCGAAAGTCCACTCAGCTGCCTGAGCCTGGCTTTTTCCATTTCTGAGAACCTTGGCCTCCTGCTGCTCACATATGTGTCATCCACAGAGACATACTGTGAGTATGCATCCCCTTTTAAAAAAAAACTCAAATATTTTTTAAGTGCAACCTAAACCTTTCCGGGTTTTCTTCTACCTGTTCCCTGTTCTCATCACAGATCACAATGTCATCTGCAAACATAGTGATTCCTGCCTGATTTTAGTCTGTCCATCAGTCTGTCTGTCCCTCGCTCCATCAGCATCCTCAAAGCAAAGTTGACATTTGTGCCTCTTGCTTGGCATGAAACCATAGTGCTGCTCACAAATCTCTCACAAATCTTCATTGTGTGTTTTATCAACTTTGTGTTGCCATTGTAAAATGATTTTTTGACACGTTATAACTGAAAAAAATCATCTGTTTTTGTACAGTTGTGCATAAGGAAGGTTTTGTCCTGTTCATCGTGAGTTCTCTGATCTACATGCTGATAACGTGTCGTCTGTGGAAGTCTATTAAGAAGTATTCAATAAATCCCGAGGTGAGAAATATTGAGCAATAAAGAAAAAACAAACAAACTTCACTGTCATTATCGTCATAGCGTGATACTATTTTTCTTTCTTTATGTCATTTCTACCCTAAAGGATGCCAAGTCTCATCACTGGAAGATGCGTTTCTTACTTCTCAATGTGTGCTTCTGCATTTTTGCTGGATTCTTTTATTGGAAACACAACATGTACTGTGAATCAGGAAGTAAGTAGAACATGAGCTTATACAACATGATGTGAAACATGTATGTATTAAAGAAGGAATGCATAACACCTGCCATTTCATGCCATAGTACTGAAGGCTTTAGGACTTACTGTATGTTGAGAAATAACATATACTTGCAGAGAGTTTCATTGAAATTTTCAGTTTTTGAAAATTGTAACTAAGACTGTGTTCGCAAAACTGTTTCACATTTGCTTTTTTATGTTGACAGGTTACACATTTTTTGCCCTGTTTGAGTACCTTGTGGTCTTCTCCAATATGGCTTTCCATCTGACAGCCGTATGGGATTTTAAGAGCCGGGAGATTGTGATCACTTCAGCCTCTGAGGATAAAGACTTCTGACTAGACTTTCAAGGACTAAGTACTGAAAGTGCGACCACAGAACCCTCGGATGATCCCAGCAACGACCTGGTTCAAGAAGACTGGGATGGTCTTTTCCACATATTTTCATGATGACAACTCTAAAGTGCTTTTGGAGCAAACAGATGAGTTATACTTACTGTATATGTGGCGTCTGGAATTATGCTTTTGCCTCAGTATTTTACTCATGGATGCCTTCACAAACACACAGATTTCTTGTGATGTAAAATGTCAAATTTTGAACAAGTGGTCACATGACATGTGTCAGATTTAAGGAAATATTGCTTGGTTTTGACTATGAGAGGTAGTGTCAGGTATTTGTCTTAATAGAATTTCAACATTCCTATAGATTGCAAATACTGCCAGGCTCAGAAACATTGGCCTCTGACACTATGTTGTGCATCATTCACCACCATGAGGTGCAATAATATATAAATAAAATGATCACACATTGTTATTGGCTCAGACTTAATGTTGTTTTAAATGAACATAAACGTCAAGCAAAAGTTTTATTTCATAAATTTGAATAATTCTTCATCTTTGAAGACTATTTGGCAATTTAAAAGTCTACAAAAGAACATATGACAGGCTTGTGTAGTCAGATACAATTAAAGCACTCCAGAAAAAAAAGTGATTGTAAATCATGTCCAAATAAATTTATGTTGTACATAATTATAGTTCAGCAGTATCTGTATAAATAAGACAATACTTTGTAAAACAACAACAACAACAAAGGCAACTGCAACAAGTGTCTTATGTTGTTTGAATTGTGTTAAAATGCCCCAGAGAAAATAAATGTAATCAATTATTTTACCCTAATGGATTTGTGCCAACGTTTCTCATATAAAAATGTAAAAGTTAATCATAATCAAACCTAATTTGTCAGATTATACTAAAATGGGACCTTTTTATTTCTAAGTATAAATTACACTAATCATTGCAATTTCTTTGTTTTCTATTTCATAACTAAAAGGAAAAATATGATGCTTTATTATTATTATTATTATTATTATTATTATTATTATTATTATTATTATTATTATTATTATTATTTCAGACTTTGAAAACCCCTGGCCTACAGTTTGTCTTTATTTGAACCCTGTAATTGCTTTGTATTTCCACTAAGTGGCTCACTTCAGGCGTTTAACATCACATGCAGTACGTTTTCCAACCACTAGGGGGCAAAGTCTGTTAGAAACGTCTTGTGATCATTCTGCAGAGCAAGACGAGCTCGCTGCGCTTATTCGGTTCGGTCGCTGCCGCCGCTGGGTCTCCTGACAACCGAGACCTCACAGAAGAGGTGGAGTTCGCTCTTCTTCAACTTCGCGGCATCTGACGTCTTCTGCGATGTCGACACAGAGCTGAAATCACACACACGCAAGTTCTAATACATGACAGGTAACTTTTATTTATGTATTTATTTATTTTTGTACAAAATTGTTTCAGTACGAGTTAGCCTAGCTGAAAAACTGCAGTACGTGGTTAGCTAAACGTCGTCAGCGGTGGCTAATGTGCTTGTATTAAAAAAAAATGATGCGGACCAACATATAAATCAGCTCAAGAAGCACATTTACCATTAGGGGTTTCTAGTTTCATGAAGTTCGTTTTGTTGGACGTTGCTCTGCAGTTTTTCAATCATCTTAGCAGTAGCTTGCTAGCTTTCCGAGGCTATATACCCAACCACAAGTAAGACGCGTGAATCCGTGTAGTTATTTTTCATGTTAAATATTTTCCCCATTTGGTTTTTTAGCTCTTGGTGTGGTTCGACGTTAAAACACAACTGCGGAGAGGAAGTAAGGGTTAAAAAGCTTACAGAGCTCAAACCAGGAATTACAATTAGCAGGCTAACGACACTCACGTTGTTGCGGTTCATTCAGGAAGAAGACACGCTTGAGAAATCTATTTTTTTCGCCCTCGGTTCAACTTCATGTTGTCACCTGTTCGTTTCTGTTATCTAAAAACAATCTTCCGCCTAAACAAACTCGATTTTCGCGCTTTACTGGAGCTATTTTCTTACAAGAAACCGTCTTTGATATGCCTTGCGAAACTGATATAACTTATATGTTATAACACAGTTTGAGACTATAAGACTGTCAATGTGAATCCCATTGAAGTAATGTATCCGCTACAATTTCCTCTCCTTACTAACAATCCCCAGGTGTTCAACAAAGAATATGGATGTGTGTAATAGAGTTACAAATATGAAGTGACACTACAGATTTGTTATGCTAAAACGAACACAGTTAACTTTTAACTCTCTTCTTTTCAGCACACATTAGGCATGGAGCTTCACAAATCTGTGACCTTGTGGATATTTTGTCTGTGCCTCATTGGAGAAAGTGTGACTGAAAAACAAAGTTCACCTGCGCCAGACAGTCAGAACGATGACAGTGGTATGCCAGGTGAGTAATCAACCATGCCGTTATTCTTTTGAAGCGTTTTGAAATATATATCTTTTTTGTTTAGTTAAAACTAAACTGCCACACACACACAATCTACTGTAGATGGATTGACTGAGTATTACAGTTCGTGCCACATCTTTGTGATTGTCCAGGCACTAAATGTGGCCGTGCTGAGAATAGTACGGCTGGCATTTGCCTGTAAGCTCTGTCCTCCAACAGCAAGCCACCTAGAAAAACTGAAAGTAATTGAGCTAATGTGTACCAGACCAAATGACAGTTAGGAAGTCACCGGATATGTTGGTAATGATCTATTGAACTATTTAGTTAGTCATAAATTAGGTGAACTACTAAAGTATAACACAGTATTTGCAGTTTGTTGTTAAAATACTGGGGTTAGATTTTTTAAGTGTTTTGCATTGAAAGTTTGTAACTTCCAAACTTTTTTTGTTATGCGGAGTTTTTTTTTTCTTCTTTTTTTATGTTTCATTCCGTGAATCATCTTTGATGTTAAAGATAATAGTAGCTGGAACATAAACCATTAGCTACACTCATGACCTAATTTGGTTTTGGGTCTATAAAAGGGCACAGAGTCTAATGTTAGACTTTTAAAACAAAATCTATTCACTACTACAACAAATGGTTATAGCTAATGCATTATACAAGAAATAAAATTATGGATTATCTAAAAAAAAACAGTTTTATAGTTTATTTAGATGTTGTCTAAATCATTCACAAAGAAGCTAAAATGAATTAAAAATAAATTTCTTACTGGCGGTATCATGACAGGCCTCAGTATAAAAAAGATTTGTTTCTGATATGACCGAATGCTCAAAACTTGACTGATTTCCTGAATAGTGACAGATAGGATGGAAGATAGTAACTGCTGCTGTTGTGCGGTGGCAGAGTTATTGGGGTTGTTCATGCTGGCACACAGAATGGCTTATGCAACTTGAGCTCTTACAAAAAGGCAGGCCGACTGGTATGTAAATATCTTATCTTGCGTCTCCGGAGGTTTGCAAGCCAAATGAGAAAAAGAGCCAGGTTGAGTGCATGGGACTGCTGCAGGTGGTAGACTTTTCACTGACTCTTATACTTTGTTAAAACGTGGTGAGTGTCATTTCCTTTGTGGAATGTGGCTTTGCAGGTTTGCTAAAACTAAAAAAAAAAAAAGCTTTCATTCTGTATTTATTAGAGGGAAGTTCAGTCCCATCTTTGGTTTATTGGTTTCAATAAATTTACCAACTTCACACGTTTACAGCTGCATGCATTGATGGAAAATAAAGTAACAAAGAGACACATAGGTTCATTTTACTCTGTTTGTTCTCTCGAACTGTTAAGCCTACTTGTCCAAACATATTGTTCCAGGATTAACAAAACCACAGTTTGGTATGAGTTGATCAGTGGGAGAGAACATTATGATATGAATGAAGCAAATGCAATCCTTTCAGTTTACATAATGCTGTGGGTGACTGTAACAAATTAAAAATTAAACACTGGGGGAATTTGTAGGCCTTGGCTCCACCAGTTTTGAAGCAGGAAGTGAGATATTATTTGTACACGGTTACTGCCTACTGCTGCAAGTCTGATGCAAACAATTTTAGAAGCTGTGACTTTATAGGTCCAAACTATAAACTAATGCATAACCAAATCGAATTACACCCAGCAGAAATCAGGCACTCTATTTAATACAATAGCACTGTTTTGAAAAGATCTTTACAAACATTTTTTTTACGCTACTATGTGTTTGTTGGTAAAACCCAAACTCAAATCCAGTAGAGAAATAATTATTTAATAGCAAGGCTGCCCTAACCTTTTATGTTCATTTTAAAAGTGTTTAATATGTCGTTCTTACGTAGCTTTAATTTTCTGTGAAAACCATCTGAAATTAAAATCAAAATAAAAATCTATGAAAGGGTCTGGATGGGCAGCAGCAAGGGTGATAAAAAGTCAGTCAGAACGATGCTGCTTTAAACTGAAATTTAAACACACAAGTAACCTGTAATACTGTTGGACATGATTTTTATGAAAAATATTTTCCTGTTAATGGGAGTGTTAACATTGTGTCTGACCTGGCAGTGGATTATAATTCCTCAGGAATTAAAGTGGAGAGAACACAGTAGACAGTGAGTTGGAAAAAGACAATTGTTTCAGATTTATCTATATTAAAATTAAATAGGGCACCCTTGTAAAAAGAAATTCCCTGTGTTCCCTTGTGAAGCCTTTTATCAGCCATGAGTCTTTTTTGTTTTAAACATGCTTTAACTATAATTGTTTGTTATTGATTCCCACAAGTGCTTTAATTAATCACACAACTGTTCCAGCCATAGTCATAAAATTCATATGTATATGTAGTCACCCAGAAATTGATTCTATAAAAGTGGAAGAATACACTTAAAAGTACATAATCACCAGCGCACATGAATACATTTGCGTAATAAAAAATATGGCAAAATAAGCATTCATTGCTACCAAATATGACAGATTTGATTAGCTGGCAACCACTGTACTGTCATATTACTTTAATAATGAATTAATACGTATTTTGTAGTGATTAAAGACTAATTTAGCTTCAGACCTGACATGTTTAAGTATGCACTGTTATATGTTAGTTATTAGTCATCACATTTCTGACAGATGCATTCAGACAATGCTTAGCTTCTTGGTAACACAAGGACTTTGAGTGAAATACTTAATATAAACATTACTTTCTCTGCAGCCAAGGAATTTTGCAGTTCAGTTGTTTCAGCAGTAAAATATAGTTTAGGGAGGGCAGCTGGAAATTGTCTGGCTTCTGTGCACAGTTACCAAAAACAACAAGCTACAGATCTTTATATAGAATCTTAATAGTTACAACACAAAGTATTTGTCACAAACTAAAAAAAATAATAAACTAGAAAGTTCTCAAGACTTGGTGAATTTATGCATGTGTTTTTTTTCTAACCCTTTTGAACATGAATGGTGGAATTGTGTGATTTTGGTGGTATAAATTCAAATGTTAATATGAATTTCATATTAATATGTTAATCTGTAATTTCACTTTTTCAAATAGTGTTTTGACATGTTCTTATTTTCTGTTTCAGATTTTTGTCGTTTTGATGAGCCACTATGCAAGGACGAGAATGCTGTTCTCAGTTTCGAGGCTATACGTAGTATCCATAAGCAGATGGACGATGACGCAAACGGCAATGTAGACGTGGTAGAGACAGATGGCGTAAGTACCAGCAAAAAGAATTCATCAACATGATGGTGGCTCAGTTGGTAGAGCTGATGCCTCTCAGCAAGAAGGTCACCGGTTCAAATCCCGGTCCGGGGACCTTTCTGGGTAGAGTTTGCATGTTCTCTCCGTGCATGCGTGGGTTCTCTCCGGGTACTCCGGCTTCCTCCCACAGACCAAAAACATGACTGTTAGGTTAATTGATAACTCTAAATTGTCCCTAGGTGTGAGTGAGAGAGTGAATGGTTGTTTGTCTCGTTTGTCTCTATGTGTGGCCCTGTGATGGACTTGCGACCTGTCCAGGGTGTACCCCGCCCCTCGCACTGTGACTGCTGGATATGGGCACCAGTGACCCACGCAACCCTGAAAAGGAAGAAGCGTGTACAGAAAATGGATGGATGGATGGATGGACCTGATACTTTATTGAAGGAGCATAAAATCTCATTACTGTAATCCTCAGGGATGTATCTTGTAATATTTGCCGCTAAGTTGGGCAAACATCTCTAGACCTTGTCATTAACCTAGCCTTAACATCTGAAGGATTTCTTCCTGTTTGCACTCCAGTGCTATTTTTGCTGATGTTTTGGATGAATGATTAACCAAATGCACATTAAGACTGGCTGTATTGGCCTTTTATGTTACATTTTGTTTGCATGAAGTCCAGAGACAGGTTTACCATTTATACAGTTCACTTATGTGTAATTTGTTGCTGTTTCTCAGATGTCACAGCTACCATCAAGACTATACCTATAGTAAGTTTTGTGTGCACTGTGAACTTTACTATACAAATATTTTCTTAAAGTATTGCAATCTTCCTACACAATTATAGTAAGAAAGAAAGACATATTAACTAACTACTGTCTTTAATTTAACTAAGCTGCACGATTCTGCTCTTGTAGGACAGCCAGATGTGATGTAGAGGTCATTTTTAAAAACCTGAGTTGGTGGTTAGGTGGGTGGTGTGGGCAATCATTAGTGTGGTTATTTAACCAACAGTTGACTGCAACATTTGTTACAGAAGGTATAACGTGGATTAAACTTAACCACCAACTGTTATAATGTTTACTTTGCTCAAGAATTTGTAGTGTAAAATAAAAATGCTTCAAATTTTACAACATATCAGAATAACCGCTCCAAGCAGTCATATTTACAGTATATGATACTATAAAAGATTGTGCATTTAGATGATTATGAAAGCTATTTATATGGGAAGGTTGGTGAGAGCGCTCATTTGATATAAGTCACATTTGCACATTAGTGCAACACAGAGGGAAATAGAAAAGGGAAATTTCTCTTTAGATTACGTAAAATATTGTTCCAGGATGTCACAAGACTTTTTAGAATAAAAGTGTAGTAGCATTTACATACTGTAGACTTAAATTTCCTGGTTGTAATTTCTAATTACAGCAAGGAAAAGTAATTTTTAAGTGTTACTGTTACAGCACCTGTTATCGCTGGTCTGCAGAGGTGTAGGAAATGGTAATGTTACCTGAGGTATCTAAGAACAAATGAATGATGGAATGTTGAGCATTTACTGGAAGGAAATTCACTGTCTGTTAAAGAGATTTCATTTGAGTCGTACCCTTCCTTTGAGCATCATGTCTTTGTTTTTTGCAGCTTGCCAATACTGTTTGTTATTGTCTACAAGCCGCCCAGATATGTTGCTGATTTTTATCGCTGAGTTTTTATGTTTCTTTTCATGCTAAGTATAACAAGGTTATTGTGACTGGTCATTTAAACAGTTTTTAGGTGCTCTAAACCAGAGGAGGCCAAAGTGGGGCCTGTGGGCCAAATTTGTCTCACCAAGTCATTTGATTTGGCCCACCAGCAGTTGACATAGTTACTAGGCTGTAACCTGTCATCCTGTGTAGAAACAATATTTCCACGTAGTCATTTCATCCATTGGCCCAATGACTATATAAGGGGCTGCAGTGCAGACACTTTATTTAATATGTTAAGATTAAACATTAAATATGAAATACAAGCATCAACAAGATATATTTAGATTAGATTTAACCACACATGTAGATTTGCACACTGTAAGGCCACAAAAATGCATTTTTTTTATCAATTTATGAAATGTCTCATGAGCTTTTGCTACTTGAGCATATGGCAGACTTTCTCCAAGTGCACAAACTAAAACAGAGGTGGACCACCGCACAAGCTTTATTGTTAAAAATAAAGGACTTAACTTAAAAAGTATTTGTATTACATGTAGGGATGTCCCGATCAGATACTCAGTATCGGTATCGGTGACAGATGTGGCCATTTTTTGAAAATCGGGTAGAATCGGATTTAGTCTTGATCGAACCGATCCAGTTTTTGTGACAGTTTTCAGCATCATCATGCTTTACAACTCCCGTTAAGAAGTCAAGACGCACACAAGTATGCATCCATGTCCACAGTGTGGGAACACTTTTCAATGGAAAACAATGATGCTGAAACTGCATCTTTCAAAATCTGCAAACTGGATGTTTCTTGTGGTGGGAACAGCAAGGCTCGCTTTAATACTACCAACCTTGTCACTTGGAAAGAAATAAAGAAATAAAGCTATCGGATCGGTATCGGAAAGACTAATCTTTAAAAAAATCAGATTGTATTGGGAGCCAAAAAATCTGGATCGGGACATCCTTAATTACATGCAATATATTACTACGTTTGGCCCACAGCCCCGGATAGATTTTGTGGGAAAATGTTTGGGCACCCCTGCTCTAAACTGTATAGATTGTATTTAGCATGTCAAGCAGCCGAACACTGAGGGACACACCCTTGATCTTTTCATTACTTATGGCTTGGCTTCTGGTGTGTCTTCTGTTGTTGACCTGGCTGCATCTGAGCACTAAAGTATGTGTTGTTGTTTTTCAATGTCACTGATTTGATTCAGCGGAAGGCCACGGTCTGAACTGTCAGGAGTTGTCTAAATGGTCTTGTGCTATCTTAACTTGCAGAGTTGGAGTGGTTTCTTTCCAGTATTATGGCCCCCGTCTGTGGAATAGTCTGCCAGAGAACCAGAGGGCCACAGAAAATGTTGCTCTTTTTAGGAGTAGGCTCAAGACCCATCTTTGTCACTGCATTTCCAGAACTGGGTCATTTCTTAGTCGATACATTTTCCACACAATTATGTGTTTTTTCCTGTTAGGGAAGGTGCGGGGATTGTTTGTTTTGATCTTGAGGGTTTATTGTTTATAATTCTGTACAGCACTTTGAGCTGCTTGTAGTATGAAGGGTGCTTTATAAGTAAAATTGATTGATTGAACAGATCAAACAGGCTTCCTGTATCTTGAGGAAATGTTCTACAGCAAGGTGCAGATTTTATGTCCATGAGTTACATTAGCTTGTCGAAATTAGTGCAGTTTTTTTATTTTTTATCCCTTCATGTTGTGGTAGAACGTTTCACACTTGATGGACTGTCTTACAGGAAGAATGGCTCCTGTCCATGTGCATGACACTGTTTTGATGACTGTAGCATAATGTGAATCATGTGCTCCAAGCCTTGCAACATATATGCAGCTCTTCAGAGAGAGTTTAAATTGAACTGCTGGACAAAATACGATCATCAAAACACTACAAATAAATTTTGAAAACTAGTGTTTTGTTCTTTAACCTGTGTTTATTACATTTAAAAGGAGGAACATATTTTGCTGTACCAGATTATGTCGTCAGAAAATATTTAACATTTAGGAATTATGATTCCTTAAAATATTTGTTACTTTTACAGCACGTGAAACAAATACACACACCTAAGCAGATTAGTTTTTTTAATTTTCCATGAACTTTAACTTTATTTATCAAATTCTTTTCTTCCTTTATCATTGCTGCTCTTCCCACAGTTGGTTCAAAGAGGAATATCTTTGTAGATTATATTGAATAGTTAGCTGTCAGTCCAGAAACTTAACTTGAATTATCTGCCGGTGCTGAATGTGAGGTCTCTCTCAGTTATTCTTGCTTCTTGTGTAAAATCAGACCATTTATGGCAAACTGCAGATTTCAGCCTTGATTTTCTCCCTGTTACACTTCAGCATTCCTGCAGCTTTATAGTTTGTATCTTATGTGTTTTTCATTAAGTATTATTTCAAGAGCGAAAAAATCTGTGTTTGGAATGAATAACGTGTTTGTTTCACTTAATTAAATCATAATCAGATGATCTTTGCTTTTGTAATTTAATAATCTTTTGCTAGTATGACTCTGAGTATTTTTTATTCAGATAAAACAAGCAGAAAAAAATGTTTGAATTCTGCAATAGTGTGTTTTCTGCGCTGCAATATGTGTTCCTTGTAAGCAGAAAACACAATTTTGAAAAGACGATATACAAGATTTGAGCATTATCTGTTTAGTTCAGTTTTTGAATTGATGCAAATGTCGTTGTTAACATGCAGTTCCTCCGAGAGGACCTTAACTACCATGACCCCAAGGCCAAGCACAACAGCTTCCATGGTGATGACCAGCTCATCAGTGTGGAGGACTTGTGGAACGCCTGGAAGAGTTCTGAAGGTAACCTCCACAAACAGGCCTTTTTCTCCGTTTTCTGTCCTGTTTTTGAGACAGAGCTTTGATTCTCTTGCTTTGTATTTGTTTTCAACTTTTTCATCTTCAACCCTTCCTATTTCTTTGTAAAACTGCAACATTTTTGAAGAGGTAAAAACACACAATATTTTTTGTCAATACTATATGCAACATTCCCTGTCACCACCTTCTTAAATAACATAAACTGATATGAGTTATGTATAACTTGATGTATGATGCACAAACATGATTGCAACATTTTCAAGGTTTGCTAGATAGTTTCAGTGAAACCCAGCTGCCCCCCCCCCCCKCCKCCCCCACACACACACACACACACACACACACACACACACACACACACACACACACACACACACACACTACACTCTCCTGACAAAAAAGAGGCAGGCAGTTGATAAGATTCCATGTTGGGCAAAGAGCAGTCTTCTTATCAGCTCCAGATAGTGGCAGATCATTGAATCTGTCAGCACAAAATTCACATCCACACTCTCCTTCTGTATGATTGTGTGTCTGTTCTATCATGTTCAACTAAGAGAGCTCTTTTCATGAGTGGCGTTTTGTCTGTCACACGTGCTCACACCCTTTCCTCAGGTTTATTTGACTTGTTATATTTTGCTTGTACTGCTGACTTCACCCTGCATTGCAGTGTTGTGACAAAGCTCTTGAGGTTTGAGCTAGCAAACAAAGGCTTCTCTTTAGGAGAGAAACTTGGGAACATCCACAGCCCACATTTTTGATTATTTGCCTGTAGCTGAGGAGCATATTTGTCTTCTTAATTTTTTACAATGGGCAAGCCATTACATGTTCACTGTACCTCATACATGATTCATAATAAAGGTGCACACTCCCCTTTTTGCTTCGTGTTTAGCTTTGCCTAATTTTACAAAACGTATTTGTAAATTAGGTTTCAAATAATCAGTTTCCTTTAATGCTCAGTATTAAAGATAAATTAACACTTTGGACACTTTCTAGAGAACAATGAATGTATTTGATCAAGTTAGGGCAACTTTTGCTAAAGTTGTTAGTGTTTCCTTTTAGTAAAATAGTGTTTGAATCTAATTTAAATTTGATTACATAGCTAGACTACTATTTCTGAATTGACACAACTATACCTGTTTTTAGTAGGATATGGATAGGCTTTGCTTGTGAAAGATTTCGTTTAAATTGAAATATCAATTGTGAGTTAAAATGAACTGAATGAACTGAAACATTTGCCCAATACAAGCAACTCAGAAGCTGTTTGGCAGGTTTTTGTTAAAGCCCTAGGATTTATGGGTGGGTTTTGAAGTTTTTTTTTGCCTTAAGGCTGTTGTATGTATATATGTGTGTGCATGCATATATATATATATATATATATATATATATATATATATATATATATATATATATATATATATATATATATATATAGAGCTATGCTAATATTTTATGTATTTAAACTGTACTATTATCTTCCCCCAGTTTATAATTGGACAGTGGATGAGGCAGTGGAATGGCTCATCACCTACGTGGAGCTGCCACAATATGTGGAAGCATTTCGCAAAATGAACTTCAATGGCAGTGTAATGCCAAGGTAGGAAACATCTTATTGAAACTGTTTTTTAACTACCGGTATACTTCAAACCTCATTATATCTGTGAAAGAATGTAGTACAAAAATGAAGTATTGTGTGGGGAAAAAGACGATATGAAATTGTTTTGGTCACCTTTTAGATGCCCTTTATTTAATTTATGTTAGCCTAATTTTCTATGAATACATTTTCCCCAATTGTGATAGTTTTGATTATTATTGCCAGATTGACATTGAAAATAAGAGGTTATTCTTAATGTTCTGCTTGGTAAAATAGAGGTTAAAAAATTAACAAATTCCTTTTTAACTTGAATTAAATTATTAGCTCATATTGTGTATAACTACTACTGCTTTAAGGGGGGACTAGTTGGGTTTAAAGATTTGTGAGGGGATCACTTTAAACATCTCAAAATGTATTATAGCTTTGCCCCGTCTTTGTACTTCCTGCGAAATGAACGTGTCTGCTCTCTCTCAGGCTTGCTGTAAAGAACACAACCTTGACACTCTCTATTCTGAAGATTTTGGACCGCAGCCATGTGCAAAAGTTGCAGCTTAAAGCGTTGGACACAGTACTCTTTGGAGCACCTCTAAGTATGTAACTTTTTTCCCTGTTTTGATTTTTATTGAAGTTTTCATTTTTACGTCTGAGCTTCCAAAAAGTTCTTCAAGAATATGCTAAATGAATCTTGAAGAACCCACACAGTATGAGATTAGGTGTACTCTAGTGTTCCAGCTGTTTTGGATGCTTAAAGTTTAGTTTTTAAACATTGTCGTTGACAACTACTTTTACACTAAAACATCTGTTTTTGAAACTCAACTACTGTCGTATTTTTCTTCTGACCATCTGCAAGTTGTATCATTTATATTAGAATCAATAATAATTTTTATCAACTACAACTTATGTTCTCTCTGAGCCGGGACAAATCCAATAATCAGTTTTCTACAAAGCTGACATTAAAATTCACAAAACCTAGATTAAGAAAAACATGATTCCTTATGTGATAGTTATTTGTTTCACCACGTGCATTTTTTGTCATAACCTGACTAGAAATGGAGACAAGAAAAAGGTTAGGTTGGGCCATTACATTTTTTGTTCTGCTCACTGTTTGCTAATTTGTTTTTTAGCAGGCTTTGTGTTAGACATCCAAATCTACAATTTAGCTTTCACAAAACAGACACAAAACCCCAGTGGCTGTTAAACATGAAAGAAAATAATAATTTTTGTACATTCAGGACAAAAAAAACATGACTTTATTCATATATAATGACCTAATTAAATTTACCTACTGACTTTGTAAATACATTGTCAACATGAAGTAATATTATTTTATATAAAAGTAGTTAAAACTGTGACCTTTTTTGTGAAACCAAACATACAACTTGACAAACAGTGAGTAGTTTTTATTATGTTATGAGTGGTTCCTCATATTTCAAATGAAAGACTGCTGTTCTTTTCTTTGTTCTAATCCTATAACGAATAAAAAGTGACTAATAGTGACTCTTCTTCCCCCAAATTGATATTTTTTCATGAGAACTCTACCAGTATTCTACCAATTTTCTACTGTTTCCATCATCATCCTCTTTTTGTCTGAGATGTTTTGTGTACTTTGCTGTATTTAGTTACTTACCCATTCAAACCCGTTATTGTTTTATTCACTTGACACAGCCTATTTTTGGTATTTGGACCTCTTTGTGACAGGGTTTGAAAAAGGGACCTAGATTTGGACCACACCGTTCTGTATTCCTGACGCATCCCTCTGCGTACAGAGTCAAAGAAACACACCACTTGTCCTGTTCCACCCATTTCCAGGTGCACTATTTCTGTGTTGACAGGGATCTTTTAGGTTATTGTCACAAGAGGATAGGTGTGTTTCACCTTTTATACCTGAAACCTGAGATTATTTAAAAATGCTTACAGGAGAGCTTAGCTGAAAGCCAAGAGCTAAGTAAACGTGTACATATCGGAATGATATTGCTAATTTTATATTATTGAGCTAATCTAATGAAGCCAAAAGAGATTTAATGAGCCCTCTAACAAAGCAAGCATTTGCATTGGACAGATCTCAGAAGCATGGTGTGTAATGGCCTGTGTCTGGCATGAGTTACTTTGGTTGTTTTGTTCGGAGGAAGACATTAGCACTTGTGGTCTGGCTTTGACAACCTCTCAAAGGAAGGACCTTTCACAGCTGGTCACTTAGAGCAGCTGAGCAGCAGCATTTTAGGACACACTCCACAATAGTTTGGGTCTAAAATAGTAAACAGTTGTGTAATGAATGTTTTTTGTCTTTCTGCTACCTTTCATTTTATTTGTGTTTTGTATTATTATTTGTTGTATGCATAGCATTTGTTTTTTGTTTTAAATGAAATTAATATTTTTTTAAATAAAAATAAATAAAATAAAAAAAATGATTAAGCTTAGCAAATCATTATTTGGTTATTATTCTTGTTAAATGTCAATTAGAAAAAACAATCTGTTCAGTGTAAATGTGTTAGTAGTAATACTGAGGAATTATAAAGTAGACGGAGCAGTAGTTTACAGATACTCCTAAAAATGTCAAAGTTTGATGTTTCAGTAACAGGGACAGGTAGCACAAATTTTATAGCGCCCACAAGCCTGTCTTTGTTCTAAATTTTATTTCCCCATGCACCACACTCAACCATCCTGAAAGTAGTTTATTAGAAGCTAAAAAGTAAAACATCTGATTTATAATCATAAATAAATTTATTGGCTGCTTAGCGATAGTTGCAAGTAGCTTGGCATCTTAATTGCAGACATTAGTTCCTTGTTCCAGGAAGAAGAAATACTAACTTTGACAAAAAATGTCCTGCATAACTCAATTCAGATTGCGCAGGAAATGACTTCCTTCATCTTAAAACTTGCAAGGCCTGAAGATAGACTGTTGCTTCATGCATGCTATATATAGCATGCATACATGCATATACTGTGTGTGTGTGTGTGTGTGTGTGTGTGTG